GGTTAACAGATTCAACCTCATGAATCTGAATTGTTCTCAGGGTAGCTTGATGTGAATATCCTGATTGGTTTCACTAGATGTTCTCACTACCATCTTTGTGAGCCTCACTTTTTCAGTGTGTGAAATGGGAGTTACTGCCCTTAAGTATGTTGGCTGTGCACATAGTCACAGCTGAGGACAAGGGTGGATACTGTTAAACTATAGCTACCATCCCTAACCCCAGGCACCCCATTCTTTGGGATAACCAAAGAAACCCTGTGGTGCAGAGTTCTAAGGCATTGAATTCTGCATCTTTTTCCTTCCATCTCAACCTGTCTTCTTACTGTGCACAAAGTCCATAACCAGTTAGGCATGGTGGCTATACCTGCAACCCCAGTACTCAAAGGAATAAGGCAGGAAAATCATACATTCTATCAAATTTTTAAACAATGCATTACAATGGCTGTGTAAGTTTATGTGTACTACATGCATGCAGAGGCACACTGAGGCCAAACGGTATTGGATTTCCCAGAACTGGAGTTATACTGAGAAGCCCGATGTTGCTGCGGTTTCTTTCCAGCCTGGTTCCATAGCTGCTTCAGCCCTAAATAAGCACACTGCGACATATTAATCAGTAAAGGCAAGTATAGCTAGCTCTGAGTTGAATGCAACCCTAATCTATCCAATGATGTTCAGGAAAGCAATGTCTCTTATGCAAAAATCAAACAAAAAATGGATCGAACTCAAAGGTTTTCACTGAACTTCCTACAGTGTTATGATGGAGGATGTCCTTCTGTATATATGTTTCTCTTATTGGTGGATCAATTAAACGTTGTTTGGCCAATAGCCCATAGAGGCAGGAATATAGGCAGGGCTAGTAGATGAGCACAATGGTAGGCAGGGAGAACCCGCCAATAGAGACGTCATGTGGGGCTGGAGAGATGGGTCAATGGTTAAGAGCACTGACTGCTCTTCCAGAGATCCTGAGTTCAATTCCCAGGACCCACATGATGGCTCACAACCACCTGTAATGAGGTCTGGTGCTCTCTTCTGACATGCAGGGATACATGCAGGCAGAACACTGTATACATAATAAATAAAAGAATAAATAATATTTTTTAAAAAGGAGATGCCATGGAGGGACTGGGAGGATAGGATGCACCAATCATTTTCTAGTAAGATAAGACCATGTGGAAATACACAGATTAATAGAAATGGGTTAATGGTTAATACAGAGCTGGCCAATAAGATGTCCTAACCATCAGCCAACAGTTTAACAATTAACATAGTGTTCCTGAGCTTATTTGGGGCTGAGAAGGACAGGGGACCATGGCAGGACAAGAACCACCAGCAACCAAGTTAAGCATTCACTCCAGTTCTGTATTCATCTTCCAGAAACCTGAAGTACCTTAATTTAAACTGTAACATCAAGAGTTTACTAAAAGGCACTACATGTTTAAATAGTCACAAATGAACAGATGAAAACAGTAGCAATATAAATGTTCATTATAACTAATCAACACAGGGTAGGAAAGATGGCTCAGTAGCAAAAGAGCTCTTGCACATCTTACATATAGGTGGGCTCAACTACCAGTACTTATATGGGGCATCACAGCTATCAATTATTCCAAATTCAGGGTTTCTGAGACCATCTTTTGACCACTATGAAGACCAGGTACTCACACAGAGCATATACATGCATACAAGTAAAATATTCATATTCATTTAAAAATACAAATACAACAGGCTGGAAAAAAGTCATGCACCTGCAATCCAATGACTCAGACGGATGAGGAAGTATCAATGTAATGAAACTTGCCATACTGGGAAACAGAATGATACTGTCTATATCTCTTTCTTTGGTTACTTTGGTTGCTGTATGGGAATAAATATGTAGCAAAAAGAAAAACAAACAAACAAAAAACCCAGTGGCTCTTAAAGAATCAATACTGGCGGTAGCAGTAAGGATGACAATCATCTATTCTAGGCACTAGAAAGAGTGCGATTTCAAGTATAATCCAAGGGCAGAAATAAAGTTTTATGAACAGGAAGATTCTAGTTTGATACTTTCAACAGGGAACTAAAGAGTTTGAATGACTTCACCAGGACAAGCAATAACGTGGTTGCAAGGGTGGCTATGTGATCAAATAAGAATGAAAAGGAACTTTGCAAATATCAGATATACAGAAACCCTTAGAGATTGGACATATAAACCTGAAATATGAGGGACTGGAATGATTAAGAATTAGTGTCACACCACTTGCTACAGTTTGTCAAAATATCAGCTGTCAATTGACACTCTACCCCAAAATCACACTGCATACACACACAAGAAGAGTTATGTTTTCAACAGATACAACAATCATAACTTTACAATAACTTATGGAGCAAAAGGCACTTAAGTACATTACACTAATACTTTTAATATAGCAAAATGGAAATTAGTGGAAAACTGTCTTAAACAGTCAAAGTGTACCATCAAAATGCTTGTAGTATAAAACAGAAATTAGATAAAATAATGCTCAATAGTAATTTCCCTAAAATATAAACCAGAAATTTACCAGAGTTGAAACATTAAGACATTAAGAATGCAGATTGTGTATATGGTCCAGCACATCAAAAGTACAGGTAGGAGGATCAGAAAAGCAAGGCCAGCACGGGCCACTGTTTCAAGAACATACAAAAATAAATTTAAAAAAATGAAAGTACTATTGAGCAGGTGGTGAGAAAGCTCAGAGGGTAGAGGTGCTTGCTATCAAGACTGGCCCAAATTCAATTCCCAGGCACATGATAGCAGAGAGAGAACACATTACCTCTACACATGCTACCTACACACAAATATACAACTGTATTTAAAAAAATAAAGGAAAGAACTAGGGACACTAAGGCAGGAGAGACTGGGTAAGGCTATTACAATGAAACCCTGTGTCAACAAAACCAAAACAAAAAATTAGACTACTTACATTTCAGCCTGACTTCATTGATCACAAAATATTCCCGATGTTTTTTTGTTTAGCTCAGATGAGAAAATTTAATGAATGCAATTCTGTGTTGTTTATTTATTGGTTTTTTTTTTTTTTGAGACAGGTTTTCTCTGTGTAACAGTCCTGGCTGAAGTGCAATTCATTCTGTATACCAGGCTGGCCACAAACTCCATTAACATCTGCCTGCTTCTGCCTCTCAAGTGCTGAGATTAAAGGTGTGAACCATCACTACCCAGCTGAGTATTATTTTAAAGCAAGAAAAGTATTTCTGTTTTCACTAGACCAAAAATACTTATTAATCAAATTAATGAAATAGAAATATTAGTATGTTAAATTCTGTACCAAATATTCAACTCCCTTTGTTAAGATGTAATAAAGAAGCTTTATTCTAAGAAGGGGAAGGGTGGCTTCTTCCTAGAAAAACTTTTGGTATGATTTAAAGTTGAAACATTTCTTTAAATAGAAAACACTAGCATGTAACAACTTGGCCTAGAGCTGTACATGTATACTGTAATATAAAGTACACAGTCCTAAATTTGACACTACAAATTAGTTAAGGTAAAAACTAACCAATGAGGAAAGTATTATAAGGATGAAAGTCAAGTTTTAAACTAATTCATCCCATAGTAAAAACTAGCAACTTTGTGTTCAGATTGTCTCACTTCTGAGTTTAAAACTTATTAGCATAGAGAGATTTCCAGACTCCCCTATCAATAGTTTTCCAATTTATTTCCTTCATTGTAAAATTGTATAACAGAGTTACGATTTATTCTACTTTCCAATGTCAACCTGAGAGTCAATTGTATCTCAGCAGTTTCTATTGTTAATTCAAAAAGTGCTTACATGTACCTCAATGAGCATGAGGCCACACTGAATACTATTATAAAAAGTCACAGACATTCTTAAATTATATCTAAAAAACTTACATTATTTCCAAAGAGCAGTAATGAGTAATTCTCCAAGACGTTAATGTGTTACACAAATGTTTTCAGTACCTTTTGACGTTTGAGGTGTCTCTTTAGATTTTACTAGCAAAGCTTGTATCATTCTTATAGATTTTCAACATTTTGATAAAATTTCAAATTTTCTGATGAGGTATGCTGAACATACTCATTGAACATATTAGAAGATAAGAACGCATTTCCAGAAAAAGATGGGATAAAAAGCATCATATAGCTAAAAACCTGAAAATCCTTAGAAGCAATACTTACTCTCTGAAACAAGCAGTCTTCCTATCTCCTAAAAACAATTCCCAATTTTAAGTAATGAAATATTTAACTTAGTAAAGTCCCAAAAGTTCAGGAACTAACAAGTTTTAAAATGAGACATTACTCAATAGAAAAGAAAAAAATGGCATCTACCACGTATTCCAAATGCACTTCACATTAATTCCTGTAGGATAGGAATGGATATTCCAAGACAGAAGTTCTGTGAATAGATTTATGGAATACACATGAAGACACCACAGTTTCTCTTCTACACCATTTGTATAATTCTTAAGTTTCTTGTTTAAGTTTTCTAAAATTGTAAGGATCCTCAAGACTTTCTTTTGTTTTTGAACACACTGAAAATAAAAAGAGCTCCAGAAAACATGGATTATACTTCTAATCCCATAACTCAGTAAGCAGAGGCAGTGTATCACATATTACAATTACATGCATAATAAACTTCAAAGATATATTGAGTTCTAGAATGAACAGTGATTTAATGAGAATCAGGTGGCTCTCTATGGGTTTGGGACAGTCTGGTCTACAATAACAAGATCCAGTTCTATACTAACAACTAAAATTCTGAATAAAAAATTATATTATTTTTATGGTATGTTTCATTTCTGTTACAAAGGTCTATGAAAGACTAGAGTTTTGGTATCTGTTATATTCCAGGAGACAGAAACATGTGGAAGTGAATTACTAAGTGAGATACAATATCGCTGTCTGAGGGGCCAGCCTCCAGCAGTGCAGGCCTCCAAAGGGATGCACAGCATTGGTGAATACTAGACTTTTGTATCTGAGGGGGTTAGGAAAAAAGACACTCACATTCTGTCTTGATGGTTTTCTTTATTCTCTATTCTTTATGCTGTATACTTTCTTCTATAGCTTATATACTCCAACAAACTCTTTCAGGAAATATAGGAATTACAATGTGATTACATAATATTTTGCACATGAATGATTTTTATCTCCATTAAATAATTAAAAATAAAGTCACTCAATAACTCATATACATTTACATCCAAGCAACTTGTTACAGATTAACAGAACATGAACAAGCAGAAAGTATTTTGTCCCAGCTAACTCTTTTGTTGGAAGGCTGAATATTATGATTACAAAGAAAGAATCGATCACTTTACTATTTATCTTGAAAGGTAATCTTGTAAGATATCTTAAAGGAATTACAAACCTAAACTTTTATATGTGAAGTCCTGGCTAGAGTAATCTGTGAGGCTGGATCATCTCAGCTAGCCACCTTAAAAGTGTTCTGAGCAGTTTGTAATCCAAAGCCAATCTTTAGTTGGTATTTTTCAGCATAGTGGTGTTATAATAATCCTGGTGAAAATGTTGTTATGGGGTTCCAACATCACTTTAGAGACTTCAAAGATCACACTAGTTCAGATTATTCCTTTTCTTGGTAATTTTTCCAGCTACTTCTCCCTTTTTCTTTGGATGCTTATTTGTCCAAAGGTCTTTAAATTACTCAAAATGTTTGCTTTTATTTTCCTGGAAAGACAAAAAACAAAAAACAAAAAAACCCTGCCCCAACTCTAACTTTAGGGAGGTTCCTAATCTAATCTTTATCTAATTTTTGGTTTCTACAGAATTTTTGTTTCATATTCTAAAACTGTTCTATCGTTCAGAGCAGTATGTTTTCTTACAATAGGCATTAGGTTCTTTAATTTCTCTGAGAAGGAGCTTCCAGGATGACATGAAATGACTGAATACAATTTGACATAGGGGCTTGCAAGAAGGCCCACAAGTAGTTTCCCAACACCAAAGGGTAGCCTTGAATGTCCCTTGTTGATCTACATTCATTAGTCCAATGCCTGGTTGTCATAACTTCTACATAATCCACAAGGGAGGTGTGTTATATTTGAATTATGATTCAAAAAAAATGTTTCTAGGAAAGCCCTGTTTATAATCTCTTTTAAGATAACCTTGCTTGCTACAATTGAAAAACTTGACATTTTGATTTTTTTTTCCAAGTCCTAGAAATCACCTCTGCTATCCATGCATCATCATGGTCATGACATTCAATATTCATTTTATCTTGGATCCATTCCTTCAAGGATGCTGACCCTGCCTTTAAAGGCCTAATTGTCATTTTACATTGAGAATTAGCATTTTCAAAAGCCAGAAATTCAATTATTATTTCTCTAGCTTCCGTATTTGGTTATCATTCTATTTACTGTTGATGTCAGTCTTAAACAGAAATCCACAAAGGCTTCTTTTGGGCCCTGTATACCTTTAACAAATGATTAAATCTTCTGTCCCAAGCACTCAAAGCTGCTGCATGATGGCATAAAACAAGGCATGGTGATCATATAAACTTAACTTTCTATAGTTGTATACTCTCCTCCTCCAAGAAGTTAATGTTGGGAGATTTCTATACCTCTAGCTCTACTGTATTGTTAAATGGTCTTAGCCTCCTCTCTGACCAGGTACTCCATTGTAATTGTGGAGAAAGCTCTAAAACAGTTTTAACCCAGTCTGTCCAGTCTTTAGGGATAATTCTGTTACAAGATGACCACGATTTAACAACTGTTTCACAAATGGTGAATGCATGCCATATAGGACTACTGCCTCCTTGAATCTCCTCAAATCTAACATTGCCACAGGAGTTCAATTAGGTCTTACAATGCCTGTATCATTTGGCAATTACTTTGAGGTTACTGGATATACCTATGTTCGTTGTTTGAAAACCTTAGGTTGTTCTTCTCTAACTTTATAATGGAACGCTGAAATTGGTTCTCCTCTAAATTCTTCTGACTGGGTTTGAATACCTCTATTATATGTTTTAATAAGTTTTTCTAAAGCCTGTATAAGGCCCTCATATCAACCAATATTTTAGAGATAAACCAAGAATTATCAAACAGACAACAAGATTATCAAAATGGTAATTGACAGCATTTCAATCCTGGTTAAGTGGATTATCGCTTCATTCAATTATTCCAATTTTAAAGCATCCAATGTATAATCGTAGAGACCTAACTTTCTGCATTACAATAGTTTCCCACTTTATTTTAATGTGGGAAACAGTCACTCTTTTAACTTTAAGAATTCCCAATTTTCTTACCAAATCTGCCAAAAATAATGATGAAAATTTGAGGGTTACTGCTGTTTCATATAAAAGCAAAAGCCTAACCAGATTTCAATGCAGCTACCTAGTTTGACAGCAGCAAAGACCAACAAAAAGGAAAGCCTAGCTGGTAGAGCAGTGACTCCACCTGCATGCAGCTCTGGCCTATGCTGGTGACTGCAAAGCTACTGGCAAATGGCTTTCTCATGATTTTGTACCCTAAAAGTAGGGTCCCAAACATAGCACGAATTCTAGTTGGTATAAATAACAAAAACCCAGAGACAGATACTGGGTAAAAGATGAAGATCAGAAAAGCACAGCAGCCAGAAACTAGAGAGTTCTCATATCTACCAATGCTCAGACCAAAAGGAAGATCCTGTCCTCAAATTGCATCTCCACACTGCACTAATATCAGACTCTACTGAGCTCCTGTCTCCTCCCCACTTTTATTCCTCTCACTCCACCTCCCTAGTGCTGGGATTAAAGACTTGGGATCCCAAGAGCTGGGATCACCTTTGTATGAGCTGTTTCTCTTTTAGACTGGATCAATCTCATGTAGCTCAGGGTGGTCTTGAAATAACAGAGATCCATCTGCCTCTGTCTACCAAGTGCTGGGATTAATGATGTGTACCACCACTACCTGGCATCTATGGCTAACCAGTGTGACTAGCTAGCTTTGCTCTTTGATCTTCAGGCAAGCTTTACTTATTGAGTCATAAACAAAATATCACCAGTTATCTTATCATTTATATTCATAGGGCTTGTTTTCATGAGTTTGCAGGTGCAAACAAAATAGAGACAGACATCATAAGGCTTCAATAGGTTGTTAAAACACTGTCAAAATTTCTTCTTCAGCATACTCTTATGCAACTTAATGTAAGTGTGTTGGCTAAAGATCTTACCAAATACTTATAGTAACAAGAGTTTTAGTATTAGTTTTTGGAGTACTACTGACTCAAAGACTACTGCAATATGCAAAGGCTTTAAAAGATTCATTGCACACAAAAATTTTACTGCTATATAAAGTGCATAACCTTACCACATTGACAACATTTATAAGGTTTCTCTACAGTATGACTTTTTTCTATGACTTTGAAGACTATTGATATATGCAAAGGCTTTACCACACTGATTACATTTATACGGTTTCTCTCCAGTATGGGTTCTCTTATGCATTTGAAGATGACTATTTTGTGCAAAGGCTTTCCCACATTCATTACATTCATAAGGTTTCTCTCCAGTATGTGTTCTGTCATGCATTTGAAGATGGCTGAAACGTGCAAAGGCTTTACCACATTGCTTACATTCATAAGGTTTCTCTCCACTATGTGCTCTTTTATGCATTTGCAGAGTACTGAGATGTGCAAAGGCTTTACCACATTGATTACATTCATAGGGTTTCTCTCCAGTATGTGTTCTTTCATGCCGTTGAAGACTTTTGTGACATGCAAAGGCTTTACTACACTGATTACATTCATAGGGTTTCTCTCCAGTATGTGTTCTTATATGTATTCGGAAATAACTGTGACTTGCAAAAGCTTTACCACACTGATTACATTCATAGGGTTTCTCTCCAGTATGTGTTCTTGTATGCATTTGAAGAGTACTAAGATGTGCATAGGCTTTATCACACTGATTACATTCATAAGGTTTCTCTCCAGTATGTGTTCTTTTATGCATTAGAAGTTGACTGTGCTGTGCAAAGGCTTTACTGCATTGATCACATTCATAGGGTTTCTCTCCACTATGTGCTCTTTTATGCATTTGAAGAGTATTGAGATGTGCAAAAGCTTTACCACACTGATTACATTCATAGGGTTTCTCTCCAGTATGTATTCTTTCATGCCGTTGAAGATGACCAAGATGTGCAAAGGCTTTACCACACTGATTACATTCATAGGGTTTCTCTCCAGTATGTGTTCTTTCATGCATTTGCAGATTACTGAGTTGTGAAAAGGCTTTACCACATTGATGACATTCATAGGGTTTCTGTCCAGTATGTGTTCTTTCATGCCGTTGAAGAGAACTGTGACATGCAAAGGCTTTACCACATTGACTACATTCATAAGGTTTCTCTCCAGTATGTATTCTTTCATGCATTAGAAGATGACTGTACCGTGCAAATGCTTTACCACACTGATCACATTCATAGGGTTTTTCTCTGGAATGTGTTTTTTTATGCATTAGAAGATTACTGTGACGTGCAAAGGCTTTACCACATTGATTACATTCATAGGGTTTCTCTCCAGTATGTGTTCTTATATGTATTCGGAAATAACTGTGACTTGGAAAAGCTTTACCACACTGATTACATTCATAGTGTTTCTCTCTACTACGTGTTCTTTCATTCCACTGAAGATGACTATCATATGCAAAGGCTTTAACACATTGAGTGTATACAGAAGGTTTCTCTCCATTTTGACTTCTTTCAAGCCTGCAAGGATAAGTGGCACATGTAAACACTTTATAATATGCAATACACTGTTGAATGTTTCAATCTGTATGAATTAATTTTATAATTAGGTTCAATTGTAAAGAGGAATCAGATCTTAAGTTTTTAGCATTGCATTTACACTCATGTTCCCCTTCATTATGGGCAGTTTTGCATCTTTGAAGAGAACTGGAAAAACTCAGAAATTTATCACCCTTATTGCATTCATAAGTTTTCCTACATTGTGAGTCATACTATGATTACTAGATGAAGTAGGACAAACAGTATTTCCACAGTCCTAATACTCATTGGAAATTTATGTAGTATGAGGTTCTTGATGTATTAACAATAAAACTGGACAACTAATTACTTGTATTCTTGAATCAAATTCAACAAGTATACTCAATGTGAGGACTGCTGTATATCTTCTAATTATTCAGATAGAGAGCTATGTTACATCGTCCCATATTCCTCTGCTCATATGGCTTCTATCCAGAGTGAGATATGATATACTTAGTAAAGGAAGAATAACAAATAAGAGGTTTCCACATTCAATTCACACAGTTTTAATTTTCTGGTCTCACAGATTTGTGGTATAGGGATTAGGAGGGTTTCTCCACAAACACTGCCCCTTGGCTCTAGGCTCTAACTACCCCCCCCACTAAACTTACAACAGTCACAACAACTATATAAGTAACACTACCTTTACTATGGATTATTTGCTCATTAGAAGATTGGACATACACTTATCACCTCTTCAATGTGTATACCTTTAGTAATGTGAAACACGTAGTGTGAATTAAATGGGTTGGCAGTTCTATAGCATAAATGAGATATCTGTAGAGGCATCATTTACTTGTCTTCTTTCTTAAAAGAATGCCTTGCAAATGCAATTCTCATATCTGGAATTAAGGTATATGATTGTGTGAGAATTTACTAATCATCAATGTACTTTAAGCGTGCTTATTTATACTGCTGCTTTTGTTTAAAACTTACAGGACACATTACAATTTCTTCAGAGGCATATTTGTATCAGCTTGACATGAAAATTACCTTGAATGTCTTCTGTAACTTTGACAATGTTCTTTAACATTATGGTCTTCCCAGCTGTATCCTAAAATATGGTACCAGACAATGCATGTTACATTATTGAAAATTGTGCAAATTTTAAGTTACTAATAACTTCAGTGAAACTTAAAAGCCTGATTTATTCACCTCATTCTTCTTCTTTCTCAATCACATTACAAAATATCATCAACAACCAAGGAATAGTTGTTCCCTTATTTTAAAACATGAAGGAATACTTAGTCTTACCTACAGCAGTGAGGTTCCTGTAGGTCTCCAGCATCACATCTTTGTAGAGATTCTTCTGGGAAGGATCCAGCAAAGTCCACTCTTCCCAAGTGAAGTTGACATGCACATCATCATAGGTCACAGCGTTCTAAAATATCCCATACATGTGTACAACAGAGAGTATGATACTGACAACATTGTAAATGTATACTTCTTTGACAGTATAGCCATATAATTCTGGTGCTGCCCACTTATTCCACAACATAGACATTATAATGTAATCACCACATCACTTTATTTAGAAAGAAACTGAATGAGAGGGTCATCTTGTCATGACTGTACCCATTAAATGGGATATCACCTTGCAAGAAATGCATATTAACAAACATAGAGAGAGAAGTAAACAGGTCAACAGTACACAATACACATAAAAGAAATTATAGGAAAAACTACTAACTACAAAAAGGAAAACAAAGATGGACAACTGGGTGTATTGGCTCATGACTTTAACCTTGGCACTCAAAAGGCAGAGGCAGCTATATCTACCTCAGAGTTGAATGCTAGTCTATCCTTTGATGTCCGGGACAGTCAGAAGTACACATTAATACCCTGCCTCCCAAACAAAACAAAACAAAACATAAAATGAACTCAGAGATTTTTACTGAAGTTCCTACATTGGGTTATGCATTCACTCCAGTTCTCTATTCATCTTCTAGAAACCTGAAATGCCCAAATTTATACTGTAACATCAAGATTTTACTAAAAGCCACTGCATCTTTAATCAGTTACAAATGTACAGATGAAAACATTAGCAATATAAACGTTCACTATAACTAATGAACACAGGGCAGGAGAGATGGCTCAGTAGTAAAAGAGCTCTTGCACATCTTACATACAGGTGGGCTCAACTACCAGTACTTACACAGGGCATCACAACTATCAACCATTCCAAGTTCAGCTTTTCTGAGACAATCTTTTGACCACTATGAAAACCAGGTACCCACACGGTGCATATACATGCATACAAGTAAAGTATTCATATTCATTAAAAAATTCAAACAACAGGCCAGGAGAAAGTCATGCACTTGTAATCTAATGACTCAGAAGGCTCAGGAAGTATCAATGTCATGAATGCTTGTCATACTGGGAAATACAATGATACCCTCTACATCTGTCTCTTTGGTTACTTCTACTCCCTACAGGCAGCAAAGTCTCCATGGAAGATGTCTCATAGCTTAGGTATCTCAATATCTTGTGGTCTCAATTTGCAACCAGGCTATTGTGGCTATTATTTTAAGATGTGTTATATTTGTTTATGCTGTGGAAAATCTGTTTGAATGATGCAAAGATGTGTTGCATTCTTTTATGTTGCATCTGTTTAACTCTGTGAAGTTGTGATACTCTGTCTAAAATACCTGACTGATTTAATAAAGAGCTGAGTGACCAAAGCATAGGCAGGGCTGGCAGGCAGAGAGAATAAATAGTAGGAGATATCTAAGGAAAAAAGGGAAAAATAGGACACCAGGAGCCAGCCACCCATCTACACAGCAAGTCATAGAGTAATAAGTAAAGAAATGTATACAGAATAGAGAAAGATAAAAGTCCAGAGGAAAAAGGAGATGGGATAACTTGTTATGAAAAGCAGGCTATAAACAAGCCATAAGCCTGTGTGTGTGTGTGTGTGTGTGTGTGTGTGTGTGTGTGTGTGTGTGTGTGTGTTTTATTTGAGAGCTGGGTGGAAGGCCTTCTTTATAATGACAATAAACTCCCAGGAAATTTCTGCCAGTTACCTTTTCATTTTCATTTATTTCTGCCCACTTTCTTTTTACTATAAACCTGAATGAGTCATCAGTAATAACCACCTAACATTTAATATTTGATTTAATAAATTTGCCCATTGTTTTTTAATTTTGCCTGCTAAATTTCCAGGACATAGGCAGAATAAGAAAGATGTTGATGCCAAAATATTACACAAATGACCTCTAGCTTTTTTTTTTCCAGTGCAGGTTTTTTATTCTTCTTGCAGAAATTCTTTTTAAATTAATTATTACATGTCAATCCCAGGTTCCCCCTCTCTCCCTTCCTCACATTCCCCCAACTTTCCCTTCACCCTACCCCTCTTTTGCTTCTCAGAAAGGATAAGGTCCCCAAATGAGGAGTCAATGAAGTCTGTCCCATCACCACACTGAGACAGGACCAAGGCCCTCCCCGCTGTGTCTAGACAGAGCAAGATAACTTTCCATAGGAAATGGACTCCTAAAAGCCAGTTCATGCATTAGGGATAGATCTTGGTCCCCCTGACAGTGGTACCACAAACTGCCCAAGCCACCCACTGTCACCTGCATTCAGGGGGTCTAATTCAGTTTTATGCAGGTTCCCCAGCTGTCAGTCCAGCACCAGTGACCTTCTACTAGCTCAGGTCAGCTGTTTCTATGGAATTCCCCATCCTGGTCTTAACCCCTTTGCTTATATTATCTCTCATCCCTCTTCAACTGGTGGTTAGTTGTGGATCTCTGCATCTGCTTCCACCAGTTAATGGATAAAGATTCTATGATGACAGTTATGGGAGTCCTCAATCAGATTACAGGGGAAGGCCAGTTCAGGCACTGTCTCCACTGTGGTAGAATATTATTTTAAGATCTGTGACTTTTGCTTATGCTGAATTTGGTTAATTCTGCAAAGCTGTGATTCTTTTCCTGCCTAAAACACTAGATGGTCTAATAAAGAGCTGATGGTCAACAGCAAGGCAGGAACAGGGATAGGCAGGGCTGCAGGCACAGAGTACAAAGAGAAGGACAAATGAGGAAGAGCAGGAGCAGCAAGAGAACAAAAACAAGAGGATGTCAGGGGTCAGTCACCCAGCCACCCTGCCAGCTAGGGAGTAAGAGGGAAAGTAAGATATACATGGTATGAAACCCCAGTGGAAGAGATTTCTAGAATCAAAAATCAACACAATGTCTCACAAAAAATAGTAACTACACCTCTGATGTAGGCAAAGCCTCAATTTATGATATCTTGGATGACTCTAGGTTCATGTTGACAGCTTAAGCTAATTAAGACACAGACTATAATAATATATGAGAAGATTAATAAAACATATAACCAATATATTAACCATATCAACCACTTAAGCAGCAAAAATCCAAATGTGAACATTGCAACAACTGAAAAATACAGATATGTCAAGAAATGAGAAGTCAGCCTCTAAGATCAAAAAGAGAAAACTAATATTGCTTCTCCACAGAACCTTCCCAAACCAACAAAATCTTAAGGAACTTATAGTAAAATTTATGAAAAAATATTGATGAACATCCCTCATCAGAGAAACAATGAAAAATGTAGATGATAATTGATAAAATCTTTCATGAATTAACAATAATAACAAAACATAAATAAACAAAGAGGTAAATAAATGATCCATGGGAACATAATGAATCAATAATAAGATGTTGTGTATGGTAAATTGGCAGCATGAATTTGATACAATCCAAAGAAAATTCTCAAAAAACTTTTAACAGGATTATTGATTACAATGCTACATGCAATGTGGAAACTCAGAATGCTTAATAGGATTATGAAAAAATATTGATACCATATTGATGTGGAAGTCCTGTGTATATGTCAATAAAGCATGTTTAGCTTAGGATATAAGTAGATTATAACTTAATTATCACCCTCTATGTATATATGTTGTATATGTTTGAGTTTGTATCAAATTTAAATCTTCTATTTAGACTAAAAGGGGAATTGTAGGAGTGAACCCCACAAAGCTATCCGCCCATGAGGGCGGGTACAAGTAAATTAGCACAGGTAGAGAAAGGAAGCAAAAGGAAAAAGGACTTCCTCTTTTGGAAGCCGGCTAGGCTTCTAACTCCTAGCTTGTGTGACTCTCTCTCCCTGGTAAATAAATATATTGTATTCCCTGTAGCATTGACTCTCATCGTTACCATATGACTTCTATATTTACCACAAAGCTACAACAATCAAAATATGCACAATTTGTGAAAGAATAAATGAGATGGAAAGAGCCAAGAACAAAAGTTGACAAATCTAGTCAACTTTTAATCAAAAGACCAAAAGAAACTCATACAGGAAAAGTGTGATTTTGACCAATGTTACTCAATTACCAAATATACATAATTCTATGAGTACAGAAATTAACAAAGACTTCACTACTTTCACAAAATTAACTCAAATTGACCTTTAAACTGTTATGTTTCTGGCCCTCCAACTACTGATATTTCTTCCAGAGAAACCACAAGCTCTAGAGCTCTCTTGGAAAACGGAGGTAATCTCATACTACAGCTCTGAAAGCACTCATGTCCCCTTATGGTTTCAGGCAAACCCAACCCAACTGATAACCAATCACAAAACAGCATAGGAGAATAATTTAATGTCTGTTTCCTGCCATGTGGGTTATGGTGCATGATGTGGAATCTGCCGTAACCACCTGCTCAACAACAGGCAGATTATCCTAACCTAATCCTAACCCTAGGAACATGGAACGAATCCACAGCCTCTCATTTCCCAAAGAAACAAAAGCAAAACTTCTTCTCCAAAGCACTTTTGATTTCCACTTGACAAATACATTTTTTACATCTATTTTAAAGTTAAGATAGCACTAAAGTATTTATGTTGGTTCCATCCTACAACAAGAACACCTGCTCAACTATGTTCATAGCAGCTTTATTCCTAATAACCAGAAACAAACTACATGTCCCTCCACCAAAGATTGGATAAAAAAAATATGTGGTACATTTACACAATGGGACATTACTCAGTTATCAAAACAAGGACATCATAAAACTTGCATACAAATGGAAGGAAATACAATTACCTGAGTGAGGTAATTAAACTTGCATACAAATGGAAGGAAATACAATTACCTGAGTGAGGTAATTAAGATCCAGATGACAAACATGGTATGAACTCACTTATTCATGGATATTAGTTGTAAAGTAAAGGATAATCATGCTACAATCCACAGACCCAGAGAAGCTACTTAACATTGAGGGCTCAAGGGGAGAATATAAGAATCTCCCTGGGAAGGTGAAATAGAATAGATTTTCTGGAAGGAATGGGCATAGATGGGGATGGGAACAGGAGAGATCAGGCTAGAAGGAAGGAGGGAATATGGAGAGAGACTAG